CAACAAACAGATTCCAAGGGCACTTCTCCAGGAACCGGCTGGCCAGGGCTCTGTCCTTGCAAGCAGCTTCCTTCCTCCTTCGAGCTGATTGGAGACAACAAGGAGTCCTTGAATCATCTAAGGGTCCTTCAGGGGGATTAGGCATGGCCAACGGGGCTGCCTACAGCGATAGCACTCCAGTATCTCCTGGCCCCTTTGTGCAGAGCCTCTGAGCCCCACCAGCCCAGCAGTCAGGTTTCTTTGTATGCAGACCAGGGTTGGTCCACTATCTGGAGGAGGTTGCCAGCAGAATCTCTGAAGGCTGGGCCTCTTAATCTCATTAATATCCTGATTGTCTTCCTCAATCTAGTGGCAGCCGATGGGGTGGTACCGCAAGATAAAACGACCTTCAAATTTAGCAGATAAAATGGCCGTCAGATAAGCTCCTGATGAAGGAGAACCCTGGAGCCGGGTCTACCACTCAACTCCAAGTCAGTCCCAAAGTGTTTCCTCAAATACCACGTTTCAAGGCAGGATTTGTTTCTTTTCTGAACTGAAATAATCTGCTACTTAGGGACAATAGGGCTTATTTACCATGGGGACCTTTGCTGTGGAGATGAATATTTTTACAGCCGCCCTCATAAAACACCCCCCTTGTCTGCTGCCTGGGGAGGGGGCGGAGCTCCAGAGGTGCGCTGAGGTGCCTGCACGGTCTCTGAAGCCCCATTAAGTTGTTAAGGCATTTAGTGCCCAGACAGTGTGGGCCTGCAAGGGCAGTTCAAATCCCTGCCCAGATGGGGATGGGGTCGTGAAAGAGGGGGCTTGAATTTCTTCCCCGGGCAGGGTGCAAAATCCTCCTTGGTCAGGGGCAACAGTTGGTGCTGGTGGGGGGGTGGGAGGGGTAACTGAGCCAGAATGGGAGACACCGCCCCCACTCCCCATCCTCGGCCACACTCTCCTAAAGCCTTTTAGTCATTCAGAGGGGAGCAGTAAGAATGTGGAAGAAGGGAGTGTGTGTGTGTGTGTGTGTGTGTGTTTCCATGCCTGCCAAGTTCTTAGCATCTGCATAAAGCAGAGAGATGGTCAGCGTGACAGTTCAAAACCTGCCTGCCACTTACTAACTATATGAACTTGGGCAAATTATCTACATTCTAAACCTCTCCCCTTCCTTGACTGTAGAATGGGGGCACGGGGACAGAATGTTTCTACCCTTACAAGGTTGCTGTGAGGCTTAAATAAGATGATGCATGTAGGTGCTCAGCCCAAGGCCTGGGACCCAGGAGATATTTAATCAACACTAGACCTTATGATTATTCACGTGTAGCCATAACCCTTCCATAGGGCACTTTGGAGATTTCCTTGGGTCCTACCGATTTCAGCATCAGGGAAAACAGCAGTAATCACACAGATATCCTGGCCCAGAGTCTAGTTTGTCTAAGTCCCAGGCTTAGATTCTTGTGGGTGACTTGTGAGGACGGGTGAAAGGGCCAAGAGGGATGCGGGCAGCAGGATTCTTTGGGTTTTAAGCTCTGATCTGACCGTTGGGGCAATCAAGTCCACTGGGCTTAGAGAGGGGGCAACAGAGTTTGAAGGGAGACAGGAGGAAGCAGCCACAGAAATAAAGGCCCCCACTTAAAGAAGCTGTCGGTCAGGGTATCCGAAGAGTCTTCTGGAAGGGCTCCCTCTGGCCTCTGTGCCTCACTTTCTTTCCAAGAGGATGAGCCTCAATCTCCTTCTTGAAAGATGAGTGAAGGATACAAGAGTGAGGATATGACGCGTGGGGCGAATGAAGGCTGACGAGGACCGTCTGCCCCTCCCTGGCTGTGGCAAGCGGGCCCGGGTGAGTGAATTTGCTGCAGGCTGGAGCAGAGGACACAGGGAGCACGACAGCTCACGCAGCTGGATCCCAAGGCTTGGGCCAAGGCTAGCCCCGATTCCAGTCCACGCCAACTTCCTCCTCCCTCCTCCTCCTCGAGCCAATCAATACAAGCACCTGTCTCCAACCAGTCCCTTTCCTCACCACAGCCCTGCTCTCTGACCTTTTGGGGGCCTTTCTCTTGATTCCGCTCCAGAATGGAGGTAGGGGCCATCACTCCAGGCCTCCTCAATGGCCTCAGAATGGGCTGTCATGGGGCCTATAACGAGGGACAGCTCCTGCTGACGAGAGCTGGAATGGGGGGCTGCAGATAAAGGCCTTCCAGGCTGAAGATAAATGGCTGCCTGCAGCCTGCTACAGTAACTTCAGGCCCCCAAGAAGAGCAAACAAAGGGTGCCCCTGTGACTCTCACTGGAAAGATGAAGGCCCATCAGCGGCAGCCAGGCTGGTTCAAAGCCCCAACTTAATTGTCAATTAAGCATGCATAAGGGAGACAAAGCCATGACAACCCCCGGCTGCATGCTGGTGTGTGATTGTAAAGGCGGGAGGGGACAGCACCGAAAACAGCTGATTCTGCGGACAGGGTGTTTGTAGGGCACCTTGTAACCAATCAGCCGCTGACAGAGGCAAAGTGCTCCCCCTGCCATTCCTATTGTGCTGGACATTCCAGCAGCCGGGTCACACTGTGGTCACCTTGGGCAAGTGGGCCGCAACCCACCGAGAGTGGCTGCGAGACCAGGGGCTCCTTAGAGATGGGATGCTCTCCTCTCCAGGAAGAAGGTTCAAGGGAAAGATGTGTCTCTAAGATGCCTCCGGGCCTCCTGGCTCAGAGGCTGGCGTGCGGAGGGGAGGGGGTGTGGGGGAGGGGGCCTGGGGCCTTGTCCCTCCCCGCCCCCGCCACCCCTCGCTTAGCCTTAGAGGGTGCTAGTGCTGATGCTGACTATGGGTCTTGGTTTCTCCTTGGCCCCCCATGGAGCTCTTTTTGTATTCTGCATCCAGGTACATTCTGGGCTTGGCTAGAGGCCGGACCTTGGTGGTGGGGCCCATGATAGGAAGCACACCGAGAGGCTCTGCAGACCGTAGGCCACCCTGAGCGCCAGGCTCCAGCCTGCTATCTGCCTAGCCTGGGGTGCATCCCCTGGGCGCCCCAGCACAGCTCACGTGCCACCCTGGCAGCCGGAGAGGGGGCCATAGTCACGCCTCCCAGCATCCTGCACCCCAGGCCCCAGCCCAGTCCCAGGGCCAGGGTGCATGTCACCTCTTAGGAGATAATGCCCCGGGGTGTGAAAGTTAGGAGGAAAGGGATTGCTGCTGCCTTTCTTTCCTCTGTTGCTCGCCAGAACGAGAGCAATGGTGACAGTCGTCACCGCTTATTGGGAAAGATGGTGTTTACACACACTCTCATTTACTTCTCACGTGGGCCCGATGAGGTAGGTAGGTCCTACTTCTTTGTTCTACAGACGGGAAAGTCAGACTTGGAGAAGTGATGTTGACTGGGTCACGCTGCAGTTGTGGGGATCAACCTGGCTGGCTAGGTACAGGATTCAAAACCGAGTCCGAGAATCCCCTCTCTGGGCATGGACAAGGACTACGCGATGAGCCCCGAGTGAAAATTCAGGCAGAGGGGACAGCAGCCACTGAACACAGACAGTGGCCCGTAATTATTGCTCCATAAATAGGAGTCTCCTCCCTAGAAGGACACAAAGCCCCGGAAGACAGCCTTGGGCCCTAAATGGTTCTGGGCACTCCATGCCAGCACGATGCCTTCCCGAGGAGACGAGAAGCTTCTGTGGGCAGGACGCGCCCACACCTATGCGGCTCCGAGTGGGAATCAGCAGGCCTGAGTTCTAGCCGCCTCTGCCACCCTCGCTCTGTGAACATTGGCAAGTCACTGCTTCTTTGGGGCCTCAGTTTCCTTCTTTGAAGCTCCTCCCAGTTCTAGCATTCCATGATTTTTTAAAAGGCCGAGATCTGGGGGTGGGGGGGGGCCTCCGATCAGAGGGCCCTCGGGCTGTATTTGGCACCCACCCTGCTCAGCTTCCAGTACCTGCCCGGCCCCCCCACCCCCCCAGCCCCGCTCTGTGTCTCCTGTCAGTATACAGAAGGCCTACACAAACGACCCCGTGGTGACCTCACCACAACCCCAGCTTGTCAGAAAGCTGCCCGGCCTTTGTTCGGCTTGCAGGCTCCCTGACTTTGGTGTGGAGATCACAGGTCCCAGCACAATAGCCATTGTCTTCTCAATAATGCCCCTTGCCCCAACCACGCCCCCCCCCTCCCCAGCTCCAGCTCCGTGGATCACCGCGGGCGGGCGGCAAGTGCCCCAGTTGCGCTCCATGCTGGCCACATGCCGTTTGCCTCTGCCCTCTGAACCCTGCTTTGAATTTCCATTAAGGGACGGAGTTACTCTGCCATCAGGCTAGCGCTCTCCGGGCCCCCCATGGAGCTCTCTGCCTCTCAAGAATAACCTGAACTTTCTCCCATGGGGGGAGAAGTGCTCACCCTCAGACCGCACCACTCAGCACATAGGGGCGCCTTCCCACAGTGAAGATGTCGGCTTCCATCCTGACGAGCCCACAGCCCACAGCAGAGGCGCCTAAGGCAGGCCGGGGGCCCAGCACACAGTGACACACAGTAGGTACCCGACCAGTTTTGGCCAACTCAGCACCACCAAGATTTGAGGTGACTGATTCCATGCTAATTCTGGCAACAAGCAGAGACGGCCAGTGGAGTGGCCCTTCCCCACAGGCCCTGGGGCTCCTCCTGCCATGGCCGGACGGAGCCCTGTGGTGGGATCCAGACGGCGAGGAGGTGACCCCTGCAGTCTGGACCTGGAGCGCCAATAAGACAGCCTCTCTGTCTAATCAGACAGTCGCACCATCTTGCTGAGTCAGCAGCCACCCAGGGAGAAGAAAGGGGACCCAGAAAAGGCTGGGGAGAGGGGCTCCCTGGAGGCTGAGCAAGGACTCAGAGGAAACCTGACCACAGCCACACACTGTTTTCACCAGATTTTGGCCATGGGAGGAGGCCAGCCCTAGCACCATCCCACCATTTCCTCCTCCGAAAAATCTTGAGCCAGCTGAGACCGGTGGGGAGAAGCAGGATGGCTGGGCTGCCGAGGCATCAGGGCCTGGGCCGGGCTTACCTGACAGCTTATTTGGAGGAGAGGCGCTGGACTGGTGGTGGGGAGAGCCATGGGAGAGCAGGGGGTTCAGATTGTGCGTCTGGTTGGAGCTGTAGGCGTCCATGGCCAGCTTCTGCCGGAACGCCTCCTCCTTCCTGCGGTTTGCAAACCAGTTGTAGACACGGACCTCAGTGACCAGGTTGGAGCCCAGGCCGTGGGCTTTGGAGGGGGAGACGCCTCGCTGCAGACATTCTGCCCTGAGGATGGACAGGGAAGGGGAAAGATGGTGAGTGAGGGCAGCCGGGGGGAGGCCTGCTGGTCCTTGGCCCCAGACACACAATCTCAGTGGACTTGCTTAGGAATATGAAGAGGCCAAGGACAGAGTTGGGGCCTGGGGAAGAGCCTGTCCTGAGAAAAGTTCAGCCCACGTAGTTCTCTGATGACATGGTTGGAGTGGGGCCGAACACAGGGGCCACATGAGGGGCTTAGGCCTCTGGTGTGGCTCCCGGCATGAAGAGAGCAGCCAACAGGCAGGTAATACAGGGAGAAGGTCCAGACTGGGCCTCTTGACATCTTATGTTGCTATTCTTCCCAACCTACAAAAGGGCAAGTCCTTCACTAGCTCTATCTGAGCCCCTTCGAAGGGACTTCTGGTCGTTTGGGGTTTGGATAGCCCCAAAAGGGTGCTAGGGAAGCCATAGTCCTTATTTGTGCCCCAGGAATCCTTTTCGAAGGGCAGGCTGGGTGGGGTGACAGGAGGACTCACAGAGGAGGCTGGTCTCTAGCTTTATCACTGCTGGTGAAACCCCAGTGGCCAGGTCGGAGAGGGGCTCTCAGACCCCACTGGGTGCTGGGGGGCTTCTCATTTAGCAGGAGGACAGAGCACAGCCTAGGGACCCTGGGGACCCTGTGACACTGGGACATGTCCCTTCCTGGCTTCACCTCCCTAACCAGAGCCAGCCCAACCCAGAGATGGATAGAGAGCCCACAGGTCTTGGCCAGAGCAAAGACCAGACTTTTTATTTTTTATTTTATTTATTTTTATTTTATTTATTTGTTTATTTACTTATTTATTTATTTAGAGAGCATGTGTACAAGCTCTCATACAAGCAAGGGAGAGGGACAGAGAGAACCTCAAGCACACTCCACACCCAGTGAAGAGCTGAGCCAAAATCAAGAGTCTGAAGCTTAACCGACTAAGTCACCACGGCGCCGCCCCCCGGCCCCCACCCCCCGGCCCCTGCCTTTTTAAGACCAGACTTTTTAGAAAGTCAAAGTCAATGGTGGAGTCATGGAGGATGGCAGGAATAAAGAAAGAAAGAAAAAAAAGATATCCCAAGGATTTCTAATAGTTTTCTTTAAAATTACATGTGGTTGTTAAGATACAAAAAGAACTCTAATCAATGTGGGCAGAGTGGATTGGACAGATCTGATCAGTTCTTTTCTGCCAAGTTTCCTCTTGGACCAGTGGTTGTACAAAAATTTGGTCAAAGCGAGAGCCAGGCTCTGGCTAAGGGACGGTTTTTCCCTGGTCTGCATGGAGGTCAAACACATGGTTCTCATTCCACTGGCATATTTTTAGACCAGCATCCTCCAAAGTATCTTCCCTGCAATAACAGTTCATGGTGTAAGTATCCCCCAGAGAAAAAGATCCCATGCCTCGTAATCAACTCAACAAAGCAAAGTAAGTTTCTCACTCTAAGCCTTCTCCGAGTCTTTAATATGTTAATATATGTCACGACTCCCCAGGAGGAAGAATGCACCTGAGGTTTCTCAAACTTATTTGTTAACAACTTGAAATCAGGGTTCCATGGAACATGCTTTGGGAAACCCTGCTGTAGCCACACTTAGCTGGACAACCAGTACTTCAATATCCCGGGACTGAAGGGATGGGTCTCAGGTCCATGTGCTTGCCCGCCTGCTCGAGTGAGTTTCTGGTGGTGTTACCTGTTGCACTCCTCCACTAAGGCCTCCCTCTCTTCCTTGCTGGGGTTCTTTTGCCGGTCGTAGGCCTGGTACAAGATTTGCTGGGATGCGGGCCCCCATTTGAACCGGTTGCGACGCATCTTCTTGTTGGCGGGCTCAGAGCAGGCGTCATCGGACTGCCCAGGCCCCTGGCTCTGTTGACTGAACTCTGGAAAGAGAAATAGCAGCTGATCCTGACTGCTTTTGTCTGTCATATTTCCAGAACTCTGGACTGTCTGGTTGAATTCTGAAAAGAGAAAGGAGTAGATTTGATAGGGTCTGTAGCCTTCACTTGGCAAACAGACAGACAGATAGACAGACAGACAAAAACACCTTTATTCCTCTCCCCTAAGCTTTGCCATCTGCCATTATTATGTGTGGGGCAGTGGGGGCCAGAGAGGAAGCCCACAACAGGCCCCTCACTGCCCACCTCGGTGCACTCCACCAAAGCCACCTCTTTCCTTTCTTTGAAGGAGCTCACATGTGGCCCAGCCACTGTTTTAGTGGCTATGTCTTCTCATTGGCTCATGGGCCCTCGGACATGAAGCAACCCTCTGAATCCTGAACTCTTGTACTTTGGTGTCCAAGAGGATGAGCTCAACCAAGTCTCAGGTCTAGAGGTAAAGGGCTCAAAGGTACAATACACACTTAGACAAAATATTCAGAAACTAAAAATAGCTCTCCCCATCTCTCCTCTCTTCTCATGTATCCTAGGCATCTACATTATGATGTTATGCTCTTAGAAAAACCCAAGACCCAAAACCTGTTCACTATTACTTGGAAATAAATGTAACTGGAGTTTTAGAACAGAAAGAGAAGAAGCTCTCTGATTTCAGATAATTTCAAAGGCAATGGTATGTGTGTGTGTGTGTGTGTGTGTGTGTGTGTGTGTGTGTGTCCAGGGGTCCATTTTTGAAGGCAACAGCCCAAGAGGGAAAGGTCTTATGGATCTGCCTACACTTTTGAAAGATGGCAAATGCAGAAGACTGCGAACACAGGACCTTTCTAGCAATGGCATTTAATGAGTTGGACAAAGATAAATGTAGATGAAGTGATGCTCCCTGTCCTTCCAATTCCCAGGGTCCGGATACATAGGGACCCTCAATACACTTTTTTGTTGAATGCATGAATGAAAGGTGGCAGCTCACCCAGTGGGGACAACCTAGCCCATAGGCTTTAAATGAGATTTGCTATTTACTTGTGGGAGAAGAGAACTTTGCTGTTGTCTTCCTCACATCTACATGAAGCAGGGTTTGCAGTCATTAGTTCCATTTTACAGATGAATAAGCATAGAGGCCAGCCACCCTGCTGAGCAAGGACACATGACAGATTCACTTCCTAACCCCGGCTCCCCAGGTTCTGGACCTTGATGTTTTTCTTTCTTGGTTCCTGGAGTCACTCCTGCAGGTCTCAGAGGCAATTCGATCCAAAAGTCTCCAAGGTTCAAAGTCGGGCCACTATTTAATGCTTGAATCCCCTCTACGACACCCTACCACATGGTCTTCTAGTCTATAACCCTCCAGCGATGGGGAACTTACTACCAATCTAAGGATCTATTTCCATTTTGGTCCATCCTCAGGAACAGTGGGCCTCTAACCAGCCTGTACTCAGGACTCAGCTATAGGTGGTGCCGGGCTTTGTTTGAACCCGCTGCCGAATGGCCAAATTATAAGCAGTGTCTGAAGGTGTTGCTGGGGCCTTTGATTTGGGCCCTAGCCGCTTTAGAGGATTCTCAGGCCACTTGCAGCTCTGTGTGCATGGATTCTGAACAATTGCTTCAGATACCTCGAGAGAGTCTCTGCCAAATCTCCTGGCAGGAAGCCACTGCCTCAGTTTTGGATAATGGAGTGCCCCAGCCATTCACCTAACTCCACCCTCTACCCCCAGCTTCCCTGCCTGTGGAATGGGACCAGGTAAAAACCTAAGAGGGCACTCAACAGTCTTTCAGAACATCTACCGCTAGTCAGGATGATGATGGGGACCTAAATTCTTAGGGAGGCCATGTTTTTCAAAGTGCTTTCACAGCCACCAGCTAGTATAGCTACGTGAGGGACAGTAAGAGGGGGAGAAAGAAGGTCCCTGCTCAGAGAAGGTCTCCTCTCCTCCCTGTGGCATCACCATGAGTCCGAGGCAAAGCCCATATGGATAATCCCAAGGACCCAGGATCCACCCGAGGCTTTTCACATGTGATGAACAGATGTCATGACAATGAACGTGTATTGAGCTACCGGTGTGGTGGGGTATCCTACAAGGTCCATCTAATTCTCACAACCTCTCTATGCAAGAAATATCGTCTTCTCCATTTTGTACCTGAAGAAATTGAAGTTCGGAATGGTTACATGACTTGCCCAAAGTCACATGGATGTGGGGCGCGAGCTAGGATGGGAGCCCAGCCTACAGACACTCAGGCTCCTTAGCAGCCTCTGCATCACCTCTTGCTAAAAACCAAACCCAAACAATACACCCACAAAACCTTCGCATCTGACTTGAGCGGAGGTAATAGGATGGACTCCAGTTTTGTCTGTGGTGGGTGTGAGGCTCACTCACAGCTGCCCGGAGCTCGGGGCTGCCTGTCTGCCCTCTGGGGAGGCAGCCCCGCATCATGTCCAGAACCCAGCATGCGCCGGGATCGGCCAGGCTGCCTCAACTACAGATGCCTGGAAACATCTGGGTTCTGCCCACCTCAGGGCCCTAGCCTCTTGAGTCTTGAAGAACTAGACTTCAGCCCATCCTCCAGCCACCACCACCTCTCCTCCACTTCCTTCTAGATCAATGGGGGAAAGTGGGGAGACAGAAAAATGTTTGCTGTCCATAAAAACTAACTTGGAGAAGCTGGTTTCAGCAGCCTGTTTATAGGCTCAGGAGCCAGCTTGGACAAGCAGATTCTCTACATGTAGATGGGCCCATGAATACTATCGCTGATATTATCATTTTTAGCTTTTCAAGAAAATTTATGTCCTCTTTTTAAATGCTCCCCCCTCTTTCTCCTTCCACACATTCCATCTCACTTGCTAATTTTTATCCCATGCTTGTGTGTCTTGTATTCATCCTTCAAGAATTGGTTCCAATGCCACCTCCTCTAGGAAGCCCTCTGTGATGTCTCCAGGCAATTTAGCAACTCCTCTGCTGCCCCTTGTGTACACCCGTGTAACAGCTCTTAGAAAGCAGCTGTCATTATTTACTCAAACATGTCATCTCCCCCATTAGGTGGTAAGTCCCTGGAGAATAGGGCCCGTGCATCTCACTGCCCAGGACAGTGTTTGGCGCCTAATAGATGTTCAAATAATATTTACAGAATGAAGGAATGTTTCCTAAGGTTTAGGTCTCATGCGGCTTTAAAATAATAACAATAATTTTTAAAATCCCCTGCAAGGGACAGTCATCCGTTTTTGTCTCTTCTCGAGCATCTTGAGAAACTTTCCGGGATGTGTGTCTTTTTCATAGCTTCTAACTGGCCTTTCCTGAATCTCTCTGATTTCTGAGAAAACATCCACTGAACACAGGGAGGCAGCTCAAACCGGAGATGCCACATGAGGCTTGGATTGGAGTGAGGGCAGGCCCAAGGGTTCTCCGGCCTTCAGAGACTGTGGCTCCTGAGAATGTTCTCAGACTTTCCAGGAATAACAGAGAGTTGCTTCATGTCAGAAACACAAATTCTTAAAGCCCTGGCCACCGTGGGTGGTGAATCAACCCAGAGTTTAAAGGGGACCTGTTCTCCTATGCAGCAAAGAACTCTGGCTTCACTTCTTATCATCTATCCATTTAATGCTTCCACCAAACAGCCACCATGTGAGATGGATGTCTAAAACCCTTCCTTCCGCCATGAAGGCCTTTCCGGCCCACAGACACTAAGACGATAAATACTGAAACAATCCCTCCAGAGCAGTGCATGGCAGAAAACAAGAATGATTTTTTAAAGTGGCCATCCAGGGCGCCTGGGTGGCTCAGTCGTTGAGCGTCTGCCTTCGGCTCAGGTCATGATCCCAGGGTCCTGGGATCGAGTCCCACATCGGGCTCCCTGCTCAGCGGGAAGCCTGCTTCTCCCTCTCCCACTCCCCCTGCTTGTGTTCCTGCTCTCACTCTCTCTCTCTCTGTCAAATACATAAATAAAATCTTTAATAAATAAATAAATAAATAAATAAAGTGGCCATCCAGTGAGAGGGGAGAAAAAAAAAAATTCAACCCAGAAAGTGGTAGAAACTAGCATCTTGACAAAGAGAGAGGAGCCCACAGCCCCGAAGACAGTGTGTGGGGAAGAGTGGAAAGCTCATACAAAATTTTCCTGGGAAAAGGGCCAGATCAAAATAATTAAAGGATAATGTAAAAGTATACTTTCCTAAAAATAAAAGTCATCATTCAAATGCAGTTCAAACTTCCCTATGCTTGAAAACAAAAAATCTCTTGGTATTACTGAGTGGAAGAACTCTTGGGACAGAAAGGAAATTTGGGGGTGGAAGTGGGAATGACAATTATTGATTGGTCAGCATCCCAAATGCAGACACTGTTGCTGTGTCCGGACTTAGCCAGAGCGGCTTCCTCATCAAACAGGGTCATCAGCTGAAGTCTCAAAACTGTGCGGATTTTGATACATGTGAGGAATCACCTTAAACTGCTTCGGGATGCAAGTGCGCCCCCCTCCCAGAAACAGGGTCGAGTTCTGAATATATCTATATATACAAATATCTTCTCTTTTGTACAGTCTGTCCAGAGGGGAGGAAAAGAACAGTAATAGTGATCAACAGGTATTGATGGTTACAGAATGTCTTCCTTGGGAACTCCGATCTGAGGTCATGTATCAAGGGGAGCTGCTTGGCTTACTTTGGGGACAACAGTCCACTGTTACCTACTTGGTTTCAAAGAGAGGGATGTTGGAAGCGGGGACCAGAAAATGTGTGGAGGTACATTGCCCACAGTAACAGACCTGTCAAGGCAGCTGGCTGGGTAGCAAGGGACCATGGGAGAAGAAAATGATGGAAGCCGATCCACTGTGCAGTAACTATGAAAACCAAATCCACCTGCCAGCTTCCTTATATTTGCCAAGTACTATGCAGGCAAAACTGAGGCATCCCACAGGGGTCAGAGTTAGGGCAAAGGTCATTCCAGGTTGAGGTCCAGGGGGGATTAGAGCACTTACGTCGGAGGATCTCTCGTTGCTTTCGGACGTACCAGGTGTAGAGGGCTGCGCGCTTCTGGGTCTTCATGGGGGTGCCTTTGTTAAGATGCTGAGAGAGGTGGGACTGGTTGAGACCTGTGACATCGACCACTTCCCTCTGAGGGATGTTGTGTTGCTGCATGTAGCCCTTGATCATTTTCGCAGCCCTCCAGGGGTCCTCGCTGGACAGATAAGCAGATGGTTAGGATTTGGGCAGAAGATGTCTAGGGGAGAAATTTTCTCTTTTTAGGGCTTTTACCTACACTCTGTGCACAGCTCTGATCTTCACCTACTTCTCCATCTGCCCAAGCTACATCCTTGGGAGAGAGGGGAGGCCAAAACAGAACTTAAATGAAAGGGAGATGAAAGCTCCTATACAGTACACTCGGTCCCTGTCATCTGAGATCAGGAGGGTAAAGGTGACAATGACTTCCCACCTTCAGGGATGGGAAGGCACTACCAGCGCTCACTTTCTTAGGCAGAAAGAAAAGTTCCTGTTTTATTTTTGCTCTCCTTCATTTCCCTGGAAGGTGAGGGACGTGAAGGCAAGAGGCCTTCTGGAAAGTGGAGATGTCATTAACTTGGGGCTGCGCTGGCTGATCCTACAAGGACAGGGGGGCAGCGTCAGTTTTGAATCCTAGACCTTTTCCACATTATTTCCCTTCTGAGTGGATGTCTCAGTTTCTTGTCTTTTAAAATCAGAGCGAAACATTTGTGTCATCTCCTGAGAAGCAGGGAGGACTTCTCAACCAAATGTTAAAGTTTTCAGAGTTTCAGGAAAGTTTTAAGAAATACAATGAAATTCCTCCCAGAGTGAAGAATCGCTCCAGTGAGGTGAGGCAAGTTTAAAAAACAAACAAACAACCAACAACCCTCCAGAGCCCCCACCTCCCAGATGAAACCTAATGGGGATGAATAATTTCAAATCAATTTCTGAATAAGATATTAACCATCCCAAATGCCACTGTTTCCTGTCAGGGAAGAAATGTATCTGGAAGGCAATGTTTCTCATAAATTTCAAGCGTGGGATTAAGAACTCGCTTATACTTTTCATTTCTCAGAAATACAGATATGCAAAAAGTTTCTTTACAGCAATGTACTAGGGCCTTTGAATTTTATTTAAAATATTTTCAACTTTGCCAATATCTTTTCTTGCTTATTGAGCAGGTGACTTAAAAGTAAGAGATATAACTTACAACAAGAAATTTAAAAAATGAGGCACAGTACAGAACAAAAGTATTCATACAATACATCCACATATACTATTTAATACAGCTATATATTTAACTTAAAAAAAAAAAAAAAGACCCAGCACTCCTTTACTATATGCTGATGTGTATAACAGCCTGATAGAACATGAAAAAAAATGAAGGGAAAAATTGGTTTCATATGAAACAATAAAGAACGTGTAAAGCAGAGGACAAAACTGACATACTGTTGCAAATGAAATTGTTATTTCTAAATGGTGCCTATCATAGAGCAAATAAAATTAATTTTTGTTTAACGAATTTAAAAATTCAGTAAGCAAACATTTTGTAAGCATCTGAATAACTTTTTTTTTTTTTAACAAGTCTTTGATATTAAATTCGTGAGATCACAGGCTTTGGCAGAGATGTTTTGAAAGCCAAACTTTTAAGATTATGTATATTAATTATATATATAAAAATACATTTCTCAAGTATTTATAAAGGTACATCCAAGTAATGAAACATAATGAAGTAACAAGGACAAAAAAATGAGAAAACGTAATCCAGTTTCACACGTGGAAAATATCCACGTAATGCACATTCCTGTAGAAACATCAGCGATCATTTTAAAGCTTACTTCTGGCGAATATTTCCACAGATATTTTGAGGGTGGAAAAACACTTTCAACAGATACAAACAATCGCTTCGGAAGTTAGAAAAAGTGTTTGGGTTTTCAAAGTTAATACCGCTTTAACAGATTCTTGGACTCTTTTTGTTTTGTTTAAATTTCTTTACCTGTGTTCATTTCGTGCGTCTAAGAAACCTAGCAAAATAATTTACTGTTCTAAGACGGAAAGGTTCTGTGGAAAGAATAATTAGCTTAACAATTGGGAAGGTTAAGAAATAACAACAACAACAACAACAACAACAAAAGGGAAACCCTACAAACTCTAGCAAACCTTTCAGCCCGCATTTAATGACAAGAGTCAGGGGTAAGATGGCGTAGTTGTACCTTTATAGCTCTCTGACCACAGAATTCACCTGTATTCACCGGGAGGCCCCCGGAGAGCTGGTTACGTTTGTTCATTTGAAAATACTGCTTAGATTGAGAGGTTCCAAACCCCGACAAATACCCGGAGCCGGAGAAACACGAGCGGCCACTGTGCTCAGAGCGCAGGTGTCAAAGGCGCGACCCCGGCGCCCGGAGCGGGCCCAGCAGGCTCCTTTCCAGTGACTTTGCTGCCCGGGAGCAGGAGAGCCCTGGACCCCAGCACAGTGCGCCCCGCGTTTCTTCAGAAGCCTCAGCTCTGGCTTCCTTCCTTTCCAAAGGCCCTGGGCGCACCAGCCTAGAGGCCGGCGAGCGAGGCGGCCCCAACCCGGAGCCCCGGGCCTAGCAGCGCGCAGTCCCCGACCTTCCCTTCCCGACCTTCCCTTCTCGCCTTTCCCTTCTAGGAGGTAGAAAGAGCGTCCAGGCAGTCCAAAAGAGACTTCTGTTCTTTTCTTTCCACTTTACGGGAACAGGGTGTGCAAAAAAAGGGAGTGCTCAGGAGTCCCGGCGCTCGGGAGCCGACCGTGCAGTGACCTGGGACCCGCTAGCAATTTCTTGAAAAATTACTTTAATAAAGTCTGAGCACTCCCGGAGGTGGGGGAGGGAAGGCGGCACCTGCCTGGGAAGGGGGAAAGCGTGGGTCTGTCCTGCATCTCTACGTCTCCACCCCGGTGAGGGGCTCGGCCCCTCGCCTCCCTCCCCGCCCCGCTGGAGCCCCGCGCTGCGCCGAGGGCCCGCGGCCGCGGCCGGGGTAGGGGCGGCTCGGGCTGCCCAGGTTAGGCGCCGGGGGGCTGGCGGGCAGCGCCCCGCAGCGCCGAGCGTGCGCGCGGGCAGCGGCCGGCAACCCCGCGTCGGCTTTCCGACTTCCTTCCCCCTCCAAGCCGCGTTTACAACTTCACCAATGAATAACCCGCCTCTCGTTTCAACCTAATCACGACTCTTTGTGTATCTTTCTGTTGATGATTTATAGAAATAAATTAATAACACCCTAACTCCACGTGCTGCCGTTTATGTTACATCTCTGCTGCGTCCAGCCCAGCGCGGGGCTGGGTGCGGAGGGGGCCCTGGGTCGCCTCGGGCTTCGCAGAACCTCCCAGAACCCCGTCAGAAGACGGGCGCTTGCGGCCAGGTGGATGGACCTGGGCCCCGCGGGCTTCCCGTGGCAGGCAGCCGGGAGCTCGGTTAGACTGCCCGGCCCTGCTCAGCCTCCAGGCCGCCCTGGAGCCCCAGCCGCTCCTCTTCCGACCCCTCACTTTCCTGTGCTCGAACCCCCGCGGGGAAGAAACCGCCGCCGCTCGGGGGAACGGCGAGGGAAGAACCTCAAACCTACGAATAGCAAAAATACTTGGGGCGGAAAAAAAACCCATCTAGAAATCCCCGATTTACTTTGCTAGAGAGTAAGCCGCTGGGTCCCCAGACGGCAAATTCAAATGCAAGGTCACAACCCACCCCTAACTGCTGCTGCGGCCGTGCGGCCGAGGCTGCCTGAGTCGGGGCGAGACTTTGGTCCCGGCCCCTGCCCTGAAATCTCGGCGCTTAAGTGTCCGAGGCCACGCACGGAACTCGGTCCTAAAGCCGAGCGGCCGGGAGCGACGTGCGGTCTAAGGGAACCGCTCGGCTCTTTGGATAATTAGTAACTAGCTGTCAAAGCCCAAGCCCTAGGCCGGTCGGGGAGGCCCAGCAAGGGATCCCAGACCCGCCAGCCGGCCCGAATTCCCCGAGGACGCCGGCATGTCGGCGGCCAGATCTGGAAACGCCCTTCGTTCTCAGAACGCGACCAAATCCGCCGCGAAAGGCGGTCTTAACCGCACTTGCCCCTGGCTTGCGTAGATCCTTTTGCCCGGTGCGGGTCCACCCCGGCCCTACAACACGCACACATTTCCTTTTGCAAATCTAACCCGGCCCTGGGGATTCCGGATCATCCTAGGGCCTTGCAGGGGCGCTGCATATGGGAGTGCCCGCGAGAGAGCTCGCGCCCCGGGATCCCGGCCCCGGGTGCCGCCAGTCCGTCTGCAAAGAGCAGCAGGAGGCTGCGCCCGAGGTCGGCCCGTGTTTCCCGGGACCCGAGAGGCGGCGCGCAGGAGAAACGCTTGGCCTGGGACCGGTGCGGGCCGGAGCCTCTGCTCCCGGGAAGTGGCCCCTGATTCACTGCACCCACTCGCACCCTCAGTCGCGCGCGCACACCTCCCGCCAAGGGCTCCGCCGCTCGGGTTCTCCCAGGCCCGGAGGGGCCCTCGGGTCCCGGGCGCTGGCCTGGGCAGGGGGAGATGGAACCTCGGGGGCCCTCCGACTGCGGCATTGGGAGGGGTCCAGGTGTTGGGAGAGAAGCGGAGCGCTCCCCGGGTGACTTCTCTGGTGGGAAACAGGGTCGCGCGCAGCGTCGCTCAGGCACAAGGCCCGGGCGCAAGGGGACTGGGGCGCGTACTCCCCACCTCGGTCCGCGCCTACCTGAGCATCCGGTCCACCTCCGCCCGCTGCTCCGCCGCCTCCTCGGTGTTGAGCGCCTGCAGCTCCTTGAGGATGGGAGGGGTGTCATAGTCGTCCCCGTCCTCGGAGCCCTCGTCCCCAGACAAGCGGCCCTTGGCGTGGCCGTTGGTGAGCGTATGGAAGACTGGCTTGGTGTCGGGGTCGGCCCCGTTCCCGGGGGACAGGGGCAGCGTCTCCAGCTTCACCCCGAAATTCGGGGATGGCAGCAACTCCTCTAAGGCCTGGACCAGCACCTCCTTGGTGACCCCGGAGCTCAGCAGGGCGCTCAGGAGTTCTTGCTGGAGCGACGTGAGCTTGGACACCATTTTCCAAGGACAGAAAAAGAAGGGGGTGAGGGGGTGGGTGAGTGCGAGAGAGGAGGGTGGAGGGGAGTTTCACAAGCGAACCCCAAGTCCAGGAACCCCCCCCACCCTTCAGCCTCCAGACACCTGTTACTCCCCGGGGTCCCGGAGTCTCCTCCGAGAGGAGTCAGAAAACTTCTAACTTGCCATGATCGCCACCATTAGGCCATATAAGATATGCAAATTAGCGGGGAGGGCCGGCTTTCGGCAAGATGCAAATGGTCGTGGGGAGGGGGGGAAAAGCGAGAGAGGGAGAGCATGAGGGGCAGACGTGGAGAGCTGGAGACCCTGGCCGGGAGCAGGGCTTGCCAGGGTCCATTGTACTCACGCTGGGGGGCTGAAGACCTTCTTGTACTGGTTCTGTTTATCAGCCAAACTTTAGCTGACCTTTGGACTTGGTAAGCAAGTAGCTTGCAGCCTAGTGTGGGAGGCTCTGGGGCTTTTCCAGCCGCCGGGTCCAGTTTTAGTGTGGAGAGAAGAAACTGCACTTCGGCGGAGGGGGGGTGTGCAGGTGAGAGCTGGGGGAAGTTGGGGTGCCCTCGGAAGAAGGAGATGGAGGAGGATGCGAGAGTAGAGAGGCCTTCCAACGCATCCCAAACGACGCAGGTGGTGGGCAGGGAGGGCCTGCCGGGCGAGGAGAAACTGACCCCTGGGGAACGCGGAGACTCGGGGGAAACGGGGGTTCAGGCGGGGTGAGTGCGGATCGCAGCGACCCCATTTAGTTCTACCCGGGCTACTTGTTCTGCAGACCCCAGGCCCTCACCAGACGAGTCTGGAGGTTTGGATTCGCAGAACTGCTGGCCCGGAGAGCGAGCGTAGGCGAGCGGGAAGGAGGCCCAGAGAACCCTTGGGAGGAGGCGTCGGCTAGTTTATGGTCAGGGAGTAGCCAAAGTTGAGCTCCCCCAGCAGCCGGGCTGCACCAGCACCTGGGCTGGCCAAGCCGCGGGGGAGCTGGCCGCCTGGGCCACGCTGTCCTGTTTAAACCCAGAATATCAGAGCGCCTCCGCTTTCCCGGCAAAACTAGGATTGCCGGGCCTCGTTTCTAAACAGCGAGAGCAAAGCTTGGCGGGCAGCAAGCCGGACGGACAGTGGGAGCCGCGTGTTCCCCGGCCCACTACCTTCTGGTTTATTCGCAGCTCCAGGACACAGCGGTTCCCCGGGCCAAGAGCGGCGCTCCTCGGACAGACGCGAGGCCACCGCGGCAGTGGCGGGAGGGAGCCGACGCCCACGAAGCCGCTGAGGGAGTGGAGATTTTTACCACCTTGGCCTGGGTCAGGAAGGGAGCCCGAACCTTTCAGTTCTACGGGAGTTTCACCTGCATCTCCCCGGGTCACGAGAGGGAAGGAAGGAGGCCTGAGGCGCCCCTGGACCTGCAGGCTGGCTCAGACCTGCAGAAGAACAGGGCAAGGAGCTTTTTAGGATCCACCGTTCGTGGACCCATAGCTCCTGGGGCAGAGGACCCCCGACTCTCTCTAAGCCTCAGTTTCCTCATCGGTGAAATGCTGACGCCAACAGTGCAGGGGGAGGGGCGTTGTCTCCATTGAATGAGACCACCTGTGAAACCTTGGCTTAATAATTGGTGTTCACACTTTCCAGTCTGGGAAGGGGAGGAAGCCAGTTCCCAGTAGAAAAATCTAATCCCTGCAGGCCATAGCTTCTCAGAATCAGGCAGATCCAGAGCTGGGCTTGGAGGGACTGGGAGATTAGGGACAAAAATTCAGAATCAGCAGGGAATTTGCAAAGGAGCTTCTAACCAAATTCTCCTACCATTCCCACCTTTAAAAGACAATTAGGAGGAATTTGGGGCTAGTTCTGGGAAAAGAGGAATTTCAGCAAGGGGGAGGAAGGGTCAGCAGCTCTCATCTGCTTGGTTCTGGATCAAATCTAGGTGTGTGAGAGCTGAAGCTCCAGGTGAGACTGATCCAAGTTTGGCTGCTAAGGAGTGCCCCTTTTAAAGGCCGGGTCTGCTGTGATCCTGCCTGGGACATGTGCTGGAAACCAGAAGGAAGGGGGCGATTATGCTCATGGAGCCTTGAGGGAGGCTTACACTATCTCAGGCTCTTTCCTTAAGAAAGGGGAAAGAAGTTCATGGAAAGGAAGGCCCTTCATTTCACCCTATTGTCTTTTAGTTTGTTGTGACATATGGCAGGTCCTTGCCCCTCACAATTCAGCCCCATGGGAGAACATTCTCTGCCTACCAAGCTCCCCTCAACCAGGATAATGAAGTGTTCAGAGTAAATGTCCCTGGAGAACAAGCTCTTTTTCTGTCTCTCACTTTGCTATCATGATAGAAGCAGTCAAGTGTAATGATCAGTTTCTGGGCTTAGCTGGGAAAACCCATTAAAAAACCAGCAATCACTTCCCTTTCAACAGCAAAGCTTTGATTTGTAGTTCCAACTACTGAGTGCCAAGTCTGACTCAAGCTTCTTTATCTCTCAAAATTCAGGTGTTAGCAAACCCATTCTTACCCCCTTAACCCCAAGCCAATGATGTGAACATACAGGAAGTTTCACTTTGATAGGGAAATTTCCTATGAGTGTCCAGGTACATCTTTCAGTTAATCTGGCTATCTGTATCCAGCAACTTTCTGTACTCCTCCTGCTCAGACCTACCTTGAATATGTGATCTGGTGTAATATGGGTGCTTACTAAGTAACGGCAATTATAGATCTCTGAGCAGATACAATACCTACCTCTTCATACGGACATTTAAAAAGAAAAGTGTTAAGTATCTCAGCAGACAGTCTTTCAGGATGTGGGTCATAAATGCTAATTGAGTTATCTCCTAAAACCCTTTGGTTAAACATCCCCCAAACAGAAGAAACAAGGGTACAGTTGAAATCCTCTGTGTTTATGCTTCACTCAGGATAAAATGGTGATGAACTAATACCATAGCCCCCTGGTATATTCCAGGGGCTGGCAAACTTTTTCTATAAAGGGCCAGACAGTAAGCATGTTAGGCTTTGCGGCCATATGGTCCAGTGGGGAAATATAAGACACTTTGAGGCGGTGGCTCGCAGCCCCTGGAGTTAAGTGAAGGGCCAGGATTGGGGCTCAGGATTTGTGAGCAGGGCATTAGGATGAAAGAGAAAAGTCTCTAGCTTTTACTCCTTTGGGAGATGGGAAATTGAAATCAGGGATTCTACAAGGCAGAAGTGAAGGATCCACAGCAGAGAAATAGAGGGTAGATGCTGAAATCAAACACACCTAAATGTGGGTCTCAGATCTGCTTTACCAGCGCTGGGACTTGGACACATTACATAATCACTCTGACCCTCCGTTTCCTTCTGTGGAAAGTGATAATAATACACCCTGCCGGGTTTTGTGTGAGGATTAACTGAGTTAGTAACTGTGGGTTTCCCGAGGATGACCTGACCTGCTCTCCCACGTTTAGAAAGAAGAAGTAGCACATCATGAAAATAGGCAAAGAAGTCAGGCAGCTAATCTCTTTGAGCAATTCCATTCTCAGCCTTTTTTTTTTTTTAAGAGTTACCGAATTTGAAGAGATTATATTAGGTTCTTCTACTCAAATGATGCATCTGCAGGTCAAATCCTAAGATTTGCTGTGGCAAGTGCGGGCTCTGTTGTAAGATCAGTTAAAATCCAGTTGGCTCATCACTCTATGAAGGCCTTCTGAGCACCATCTTGGAAATTCCGCAGAATGGCAAATGTGGTTCCAGGGGATTCAGCTCTCCTGTAACTTCATAAGCATAAGTGATATTCCTTTCCCGCTTTTGGGTGCACAATGTTCCCCCGCCCCTCCTGCCCCCCCCAACTTACCTACCCTCTGCTTTGCTTACAGCAGGGAGAGCCTGGTCCTCTCCACCCTCTGCCACTCCACTCTCCAAGGCTCTCCCATTGATCTGCCAGTCTCTAGGAGGCCTCAAAATGAAATCATCTCGGAATTCTTAGTCTCAGCAAACAAACTGAGGATTGCTGGAGTGGTGGGGGGTGGGAGAGATGGAGCGGCTGGGTGATAGACATTGGGGAGGGTATGTGCTATGGTGAGCGCTGTGAAGTGTGCAAGACTGTTGAATCACAGATCTGTACCTCTGAAACAAATAATACAATATATGTTAAGAAAAAAAGAAGATAGCAGGAGGGGAAGAATGAAGGGGGGGAAATCGGAGGGGGAGACGAACCATGAGAGACGATGGACTCTGAAAAACAAACTGAGGGTTCTAGAGGGGAGGGGGGTGGGAGAATGGGTTAGCCTGGTGATGGGTATTAAAGAGGGCATGTTCTGCATGGAGCACTGGGTGTTATATGCAAATAATGAATCATGGAACACTACATCAAAAACTAATGATGGAATGTATGGTAATTAACATAACAATAATAAAAAAAGAATTATCTAAAGAACTAAAATAAAATGAAATAATCTCTAGAGTAAAACATAAGTCCTATTCTATCCTGGTGTGAAGGGGTGTGGGGGCCTTACTGTTAGTATTGTCACAGCCTAGAGAACATTCTAGACTGTAGGGTTAGAGCCTCAGGTCCTAGCTCTGGATACAATACTCCTTTCTGGAAGACTCTTCACCTTCCCAAGGGCTTTGGTGAGCACCCTTCTCTGGGCCTCTGATTCTGCTTTTGAAAAATGGCCAGTTAGCACCCTCACTCCATAAAATGTGAAGGGATAGATGAAACACGACTGGCAAACTATAATTTCTGAAGCGAATGATGACATCTATGGGGTCTTGTACTCTTCTATTTGGATGTTTCAAATTTTCCATAATTTTTTTCTAAGGTCTCAGAAAGTTCAGTGACAGTCTGAGCTTGGAAACACGGTGGTGTTCTCATGATGCCCCGCCGTGGTGAATGAAGGAGATTATCAGACTCCTCTGTGGGGGCTTCACGGCACCCAACCAGGAGGAAATAACATATTTCCCACTGGACCCCAGTAAATTTTATGCTAAAAAACGGACATTGAGATGCTAGTTAATTCAAAGAAAATAAAAGACCTCCCCC